TTCTCCAGCGGTATTTTGCCGTTACATCCGAGGGACTTTTCAAGATTTTCTGGCTGACGGCACAGTCCTTATATACATGTACGACATTGTCATTCCCGCCAAGGATGAGATGGAGGACCGAGATAAGTCAAAAAAAGTGTTAAAGCATGCGAGTAAAAGCGGTTTAGACATTGGGTGGGAGAAATGCCAGCTTTTGAAAAAACAAATACATTTTTTGGAGTATATTGTGGAGAGTGGTAGAATTCTTACTTCTGAAGAGAAAACTAAGGCAGTGAAGACTTTTCCAATTTTTCCTGCGAGAAAAAAAGAAAGAAAGAGAAGATTCTTGGGTTTAACATAATTTTTCTGGCGTTTCTTTCAAAACTATGCAATGCTCGCTAAGCCTGCTTTAAAACTTTTTCATCCCATAGCAGAAACGGATTTGCATGCAGATGAGTTCAAGTTTGGCAATGGTGCAGTTTTGTTACAAAGAGACACGGAAGATCGTTTGCTACATCCTATAGAGTATATGAGTCGTAAAACATCAGCAGCAAAAGAGAAGTATAGTGCGTTTGAACTCTAAGTTCTGGCAGTTATAAAAGTCTTAAAGAAGTGACGCATTTACTTGAAGGACGTTAAATTTAAAATAATTAGCGATTGCAACGCATTTGCAATGACGGTAAAGAAGCAAGACGTACCGGACAGAATTACGAAGTGGGTAATGTACTTGCAGGATTACAATTATGTGGTCGAATATAGGTCAGGAACACGCACGAGGCACGTAGATGCCCTCATTAGCGTATACTGCTTGTTGGTAGAGAACTCGCTGAAGATGAGAATAAGAGAAGCGCAGTTACAGGATGACTGGATAAGAGCCGCAAATAAACTTTGACATCCTTAGCAACTCTTCTCCTAGCATTCAAAGTAAACTGACAACCATGCCGATGAACAACTTTCAACTATAACTTGCCTGTACTAAAAATAGGAAAGAAAATTATGAAATTAGGTAAAATTGTTGTTATATATAACTACTTAAGAACTTATAACTTGCAATTAGTTACAGCTTTTTTGACGGATATCCCATTGAAAATTATGTCAAAAAGCTGCAATTAACTGTAGAGTCTTCTTTATTTTGACTATAACTACAGGCCTTTGCTTCACAAATCCGTGACTAAGAATAGGAAAATACTAACTACATATCAATAATTTTTTTAAGGGCCCGAGTTTCTCTTCCGTAGACGCGATGTATAAAAATTCCAGCTCTTTTCGGCGGATACATTTGGATACAGTTTTCGGTTTGTTATGGATACTTTAAAGGCTAAGGCAGTGGCAACATTGATGGGTGTGCGACCTATTTCGGGTTTGGGCGGTGATTGTTGATATTTAATTTTCAATACATTTTTACAATTTGATATAGTTCTCAAGAGTTTCCTTATATTTGGGAAGTAATATTCTTCCGTAATTTGTTTGAAGTTTTTCTGAGCTCTATTATGCTCGGTTACTATGGTTTCTAACTGATCGTCTTCGCAGGTTAAGTATATTAGAAGCTTTTCAGTATGAATAAATTTAATACTAGGAAATACAGAAATAATTGGGCCCTGAATCTCAGCCACGGTACTTAAGTTGCAAGGAATTGCATTAGTGACGCTGGGGTTAATGGTAGTNAAAATACAGAAATAATTGGGCCCTGAATCTCAGCCACAGTACTTAAGTTGCAAGGAATTGCATTAGTGACGCTGGGGTTAATGGTAGTTTTCAAATACTCGATTAAATTTTGAACAGTATCAAAATTAATTACGTGTCGAACTAATTTCTGAAACATAATTTTAGTGGTTTTCTTTTCGATAAAATAAGTCGATTTTTATATTAATTTACTGGATATTTAATTGAATTCATAATATTACTTGAGGAGTGTTGAGAACATGGGCATAAATCTGATAGATTTGTAGACGAGAGACAGCTCGCGCTTTTGCTTTTTAAATTTTGTATTTTTCAAATTTGAAGATGGATTGCCTACCAAATGAATTGTAAACCTTTTTAGAATATGTACCCTTATCTTTGCAACCTTGAACATATCAACTTGTATATCGTAAATTTGGGTGGCGTGTTTTTCCGATTTTTGAATTGTAAAGCGACGGTACGGGGAGACCCGAGCGCGCCAACCTAAGTTTTTTAGTCTTCTACTGACCGCCACCGCTTTCACATCGTTAACTTTCAAATCCGCCCCTCTGGCACCTTGAATTCGAATTTGCATTGTAGTCAAACATATTGGATAATAAACACTTGAGATTCATAGATTGTAAAGCAAACTATATCTCTTTTCGTTACGCATTTACATGCATACGTTTTATGCAAGTGCACTCTGCATGTACGCAACAAGTGGACGTAAGTACTCGAACATGGTCCTTACGATCCGTTCGAAGGAATCGGCAACCCTCTATTTAGAGTACAACCACGTTCACTGAACGCACCCTTCTCATCAACCGAAAACTCTATTCGGTCAGCTCGTGTCAGTTTTTAAATCATAAGCGGTTGGCGGCGGTCGTATAAACCAAGTGCGGTCGTTCAAGTTAAGTGTGCAAAAGAAGTTGAAAATTCTGCGCATACATATGCACAAAATAAATCTTTGCGAAAAAAAACTAAATATCAAACAATACAACTTAAAACGAAACAAAAAGCGTGCCGGTTAAAAACTAAATATAAAGTGTGAAAATAAAAATATAAAAATATTGGTTGAAAGTGAAAAAAGCACCCAGTGAGAAATTAAAGTCGCAAAATTTTAAAAAAAGAAAAAAGGAACAAAGATTGTAATTTCTGATTGGCAGAAGAAATTAATTTGGAAGAAATAAGTGCGATCAAAAAGGGGAAGAATAGAAATAATAGAAAAAAAGTAAAGTGCAGCAAAAAACAAAAAAGCCAAAGTGCATAAAAAANCAACTTGTTCGGTTTATTATCGCAAACAAAATTGACCCATACTAATATTAGCGTAGTCAAGTGCGACATACGTACGTATATATAAATACGTGGTTGGTTGCTTACCCCTTTTCGACCGTTAACAGCACTTCGAATATAATTCGGTTACCGCGCACTCATATTGCACATACTTATATGTACATATAGAAAACCGCCGAGGTACGTACATACATACCAACGCGTACACAAATAGGCTCCACCCTTTTTTTCGCTCTTGCGCTGCACACAAAAATCACTGTTACTGGACTTAGACGCGCTAAGACAGTACAGTGTAGCAAAAAGCAACAGACTCACGGTGGGACAAAACCAGTACCCACACAAAATAAAAAATTATAATCAAAGAATTATTTTAAATCAATTTTAAATATAATTAAACTGGACTCAAACCCCTTAATATTGTAACGAGGTACAGTTTATATTATTAACCCAACCCAAATTACTCATCTCAAACACCATGGAAAAGAAATCAATAACTGCTACTGATAATGATTCAGAGGCAAGCCTCCAGGCCTTCATATTTGAAAGCAATAGATTAGAGTCCTTTTACTCTACATGGTCAGCAACTCTTATAGCTGACCAAACAGAATCCCTATTGCAGGTCAAGATCCAGCAACTGGACTGATTGCGGGAATCGCTCGTTGCATCCTTTAGAGCAGTATCCCTCTCCGGAGATCATGATGAGTCAAGTGGCTCAATCGAGCAAAAATATAAAAAGTGCTCAGAAAGCTACGAAAATTGTATGTCCCAAATACTAGATGCTCTGCAGCTTTTAGCACCACCTCCACAACCCAGAAACCTTCCTAATAATTCCAACGCCCCTGAGGTTTTTCTCAAAGTACCACCATGTGACACCGAAGTCTTCCATGGTGGGTACGAAGACTGGCCGGCCTTTAGGGATATGTTCATGGCTGCCTATGGAAATCACCCCAAGCTAACACCAGCTCAGAAACTCTACCATTTGCGCCAAAAAACGAGGCCAGGCAGGGCAATTGGTTAAGCAATACCCGCTTACTGACGAAAGCTTTCAATTAGCCTGGGAGGCACTGAAAGTGCGGTATGAAAACCGCAGAATATTGGTGGATAACCAAATTAAAACCCTCTTCAATCTCCAATCGATTTACTCAGAGAACGGTGAGCAGATTCAAAAATTCCAAACTACGATAAACAACTGTTTGTCCACTTTGGCAGCACAAGGAATCCCAACATCTGACTGGGACCCCATCCTTGTCTATATTTGCTCTTCGAAACTGCCCAGTGAAACCCTTTCTTTTTGTGGGAACAGTCGCTGAGTTCTCGAAAAGAACTGCCGCTGTGGACAGATATGAATGAGTTTTTAACAACTCGGTATGAAGTCGTGGAAAGACTCAGCACTTATCGCCCAGGTAAAACAAGAACGCCTCAACCAAACTTCCCCCCCAGAGCTATTAAGCAAAACTCACACCCTTTTAATAAACCACAACTTTCACACGGAACTAAATCAGCAGGTATCATGTAAATTATGCATCCAAAACCATACAATGAAAACCTGCGTGAAGTTTAAAGCCCTGTCCGTAACTGAGCGACTCAAGTTCGTAAGAGAAAATAAATATTGTGAGAATTGCGTCTCATTTTCCCACTTCAAGAGTGATTGTCAGAGCAAGTTCTTATGCGTATACTGCCAAAAGAGACATCACTCCCTTCTCCATTTCCAACCACAATCCTAATCAACTAGGGCCAACCCAAAACCTCAAAGAACCCAAGCGCAAATGTCGACTCAAAGTCGGATAGACCATGAACAGCCTTCGACATCTGAGCAGGCTGCTAAAAATGCACTTGCCAAACACCCACCTGACAGCAATGTCCAAAAGGTCTCTTCGGATTTTTCCAGTAGCAGCGCAACAACCCTAATCCCCACGGCAATAGTTCCCATTTACTTTGAAGGAGAGTATCATAAAATTCGTGCTTTAGTCGATCAAGGATGACAGAAGACCTTTGTAGCGTCACGAATTCAAAAACTCCTTGGCCTACCCACAAGAGAAACTCACTACCAAATCTCTGGAATAGGAGGAATGGTAGTACAGAATTCGAACAAAATTTGCGAGATAACGCTATGCTCATCGGATTTAGGCCAGAAGATCACAACTTGTGCCATCATTCTCCCACAGCTTACCCACTTTCTGCCCACATTTAAAGTTTCCAATGTCAACATAGACGAATTACATTCCCTCCAACTTGCTGACCCTAACTGCTTTACACCATCGAAGATTGACATGGTGATAGGAAGTGATATAAATCCCCAAATACTCCTGGATGGGCTACAACGTAACATCGACGGCACCTTAGTATCCCAAAACACAATATTCGGTTGCATACTGAGTGGTCCAGTAAGAGAACATATCTCGACGTTCTCCACCCACGTCACAGAGGCAACGGAGCCCGAACTCAGCACGCTGCTCAAAAGATTTTGGGAGCAAGAGGAGATAGAAACCGCTCAACCCAAATCAGCAGAAGACGAATTCTGTGAGGAACTCTACAGGACCACGACCGACAGACGAGAGGATGGACGCTACGTGGTGAAACGCCTCTTCAAACCCGAATTCCCGGACGCACTTGCCTTAGGAAACTCCCGCCCAGCAGGCCAGCAACAATACATAAGCATCGAAAGGACTCTGGAGAAAAGGCCGGAATTGCGCGACAAGTACTCAGAGGTGCTGAATGATTACTTCAAAATGAATCACACGGAGCAGGTTTCACCCCTTGAAGTTATAAAAAACGGAAAATATTTTTCATTTTATTTACCCCATCATGCTGTCTTAAAGCCTGACAGCAAAACTACAAAAGTGCGTGACGTCTTTAACGCATCTAAGACATCACATTCAGGAAACTCCCTGAATGATGTTCTTTATACAGGCCCAATACTCCAAAACGACTTAACGGCCATTATCCTTAAATGGCGTCTTTATAAATTCGTTTTCAATGGCGACATAGAGAAAATGTATCGCCAAATACTCGTCCATAAAGAAGATCAAAATTTCCAAAGGATTCTCTTTAGGAAAGCCCCTCACCTGCCAATCGAAGATTTTAAGTTAAAAAGCGTTACTTTCGGTGTTAACTGCGCCCCATATCTTGCAATTCGCATGCTCCACCAGTTAGCTCACGATTGCCAAGAAAATTCCCCCGCGCCAAAAACATCATACTACACGAAACATATGTAGATGATGTACTCTCTGGCGGATACAATATACAGTCCACTATCAACTCTATGACCCAAACTATCGAAGCTCTAAAATCGGCAGGCTTTCCGCTGAGAAAAATTACAGCAAATCACCCAAAAATCCTTGAATGAATCCCAGATACCGATGTCTTAGATACTGAGTTTCTCAAATTCCAAGACACAAGCTCAACTAAAACGCTTGGAATAAGATGGAACGCACTGATTGACTCCTTCTCGTACTCTTACGACCCTTCTAAGTCGAACACAAAACGACAAATACTCTCGGCCGTAACGAGACTGTTCGACCCGGCAGGATGGCTATCACCAATAATGATACTCGCCAAAATCCTCCTCCAAAGATTGTGGTTGGAGGGAATGGACTGGGACGAGCACGTGAAGCCTACGTCTTTCCACAAGTGGAACAATTTCCGCGAAGACCTCCAGGCAATAAGCGCCATCAGCATACCGCGTTGGGTGCGCTTCTCGCCCGAAAAACGCATACAGATACATGGTTTCTCAGACGCTTCTGAAAAGGCATTCTGTGCATGCGTTTACATCAGAGTGCAACACGAAGAAAACTCCTTCTCGACTCAGCCTTTTTGTTGCCAAAACCAAAGTTGCACCGCTGGAAACGATAAGTTTGCCACGTTTAGAACTTTGTGGCGCTGTGTTGCTGTTGAAGTTAATTGCTGTCACCCGTTCCCAACTGAATCTGCTACCTCATGAATTAACCCTCTGGTCGGACTCCTCAATAGTGTTAGCTTGGCAGGAAAAACCACCACATTCATGGAAAACGTATGTAGCCAACAGGATCACTCAAATTCTCCAAAATGTCAGCAATGCCACTTGGCGCCACGTACCCAGTGGTGATAATCCAGCAGATTTAGGAACGCGTGGATGCAAACCACAAGCTTTAGCTGGATGTTCCTTATGGTGGAACGGGCCCGAGTGGCTCTCCAAACCATCTACTTCCTGGCCCGAAGGCGCACCTTCCAATCCAGCCCCTCCTGAAAAGAGACCGATAGAATCCCTCCACACCTTAGAATGTACATATATCCTTGATCGATTCTCCTCATTTTCACGAGCCTTAAGAGTTATTGCTTTTTTGTATCGTTTTATTCGCAACTCGCAAAAATCCCCAATTCCCACCACGTTAGCTCTTACACAGGAAGAGATAAATCATGCAAAAATGAAATTGATCGCAATCACTCAGCGCCACCATTTTGTAGAAGAAATTCAGGCGTTGGAGGCTTCAAAACCAATTGACAAAAAAAGTTCACTACTCACCCTAAACCCTATGCTGGACAAAGCGGGGATCATGCGCGTAAATGGTCGTCTAGCTCAGGCCGCGCTAAGCTACAATGAACGGCACCCCATAATCATCCCAGATGGCTCCAAGTTCTGCTCCTTGCTGCTAGATTTTCTGCATAACACCTTGCTTCACGCTGAAAAACAGTTAATGGTTCGTATGGTGCAGCAAGAGTATTACATTCCCAGACTCAAACAAAAACTGAAAAGGTGCATATTTCAGTGCAAGACTTTTACTATTTATAAACAACGAATGCGATCACAAATAATGGCAGCACTGCCCCCCGAGCGTTCAACTTACTCGGTGCCATTTCACACAACTGGTGTTGATTTCGCTGGACCATTTATGGTAAAAACATCCCCCTTGCGACGAGCGTCTCACACAAAAGCATACGTTTGCGTATTCGTGTGCTTTTCCACAAAAGCTGTCCATTTAGAGTCCTGCACAGACATGACTACAGAAGCATTCAGAGCCGCCTCGATTCGTCGGTCGCCGCGGACTGCCAAACAAAATTATGTCCGACAACGGGAAGACGTTTATCGGAGCACACCGGGCTATCCAGCACAATTTTGCCTTATTTCTAAAAGAGGCAACTTCGGCTATCGCTGCACGATATGCGGTACATGGACTCTCTTGGCAATTCATACCGCCATACGCCCCTCATATGGGTGGTCTGTAGGAAGCCGCCGTAAAAAGCTTTAAAACCCACTTCACTAAAGTCGCTGGAAACCACAAATTCACATTTGAGGAATTCACCACTCTCCTCATTCGAATCGAAGCGGTCCTCAACTCGCGCCCTCTCTCCCCCATGTCACAAGATCCAAGCGACTTATTAGCTTTAACGCCAGGCCATTTTCTCCGCGGGGCTCCCTTGGTTTCCCTACCTGAGCCGAATGCCGAAAATGTATCGCTCCATACCAAATGGCAAAAATTGAAAGTNGTGTCGTTTGTGTTGCCGCTTCCATAGTCTGAGGTTCTGCCACGCCTTCAAAGCGATGACACCAGATGAGAGGTACGAGTCGGCAAAGGTGCATCGCTATTGCATCAATTGCCTGGCCACGTCCCACGTAACCGGCGCATGTGACTCGCACGATAGTTGCCACCGATGTGGCAAAGCGCATCACACCATGCTACACCGCTCCGCCTCTCCACCGCCAGACCGCCGCCGCCGTGAAGAGCCTCGTGTGAAATCCAGCCGCCAAGGAATACAGTCGACCAGTAAGGCCGTGCACAAGCCGCCCAAGAAGCATAAAGGCCGTACAGGCGTCTAGCAGCGCATACAGGATTTATTCAGCCAGGCGGTAGTGACGCTAGAAAAGCTGAAACAGCTGCTCAATATTGCTCCGGCACACGCGGGCCGGCATGTTGAGAACATGGGCATAAATCCGATAGATTTGTAGACCAGAGACAGCTGCGCGCTTTTGCTTTTTAAATTTTGTATTTTTTCAATTTTGAAGATGGATTACCTACCAAATGAATTGTAAACCTTTTTAGAATATGTACTCCTTATCTTTGCAACCTTGAACATATTCACTTGTATATCGTAAATTTGGGTGGCGTGTTTTTCCGATTTTTTAATTGTAAAGCGACGGTACGGGGAGACCCGAGCGCGCCAGCCTTAGTTTTTTAGTCTTCTACTTACCGCCACCGCTTTCACATCGTTAACTTTCACCTTGGTACCTTGAATTAGAATTTGCATTGTAATCAAACATATTGGATAATAAACACTTGAGATTCATAGATTGTAAAGCAAACTATATCTCTTTTCGTTACGCATTTACATGCATACGTTTTATGCAAGTGCACTCTGCACGTACGCAACAAGTGGACGTAAGTACTCGAACAAGGAGATTTCGCTATGTACCGTGTCAGCTTCAGAAACCGCCTCAATGTTGGTCATAAACTGCCGCGATAAAGCATATGCCAAGTAAGTTTTCTTTTCCCGGTTTGTAAAAGAATTTCGGCGAATACTCTTCAATGAAGGCCCGCCATATTTTGAGCTTTGTGTTTGGACTTTAATTAGACATTGCGAAGATAAGTGGCTGATGATCAGTAAATATATGGATATCTTTTATTTCATAAATGTAGTGCCTTACTGCTTTGAGGTCCCAAACTGTTTCTAGGAACTCGCGTTTATTGGTCGCGTAATTCTCTTCCGCTTTTGAGAGAGCCCTAGAAATCATAGTAATGGGCTTTTCTTGCTGGGATAAAACGGCTCACAATGCTCTTGAAGATGCATCAGTTGTTAGTTCAAATGGTTTCGAATACTCGCGGTATTGGGGTAAGATGCCAGAATTTGCTTAATTTTTTGAAATGCCGAAATAGGTTTCTTCAGCTAACTTAATTTTTACATTTTTCGAGATATTAGCTCCCACATACCCGTTCTTTGTTCTTAGATACTTTGTCAATGGTTTTACAATGTGCGCATAGTCCCGAATGAATCTATGGTAGTAGCCAGATAGCCCCAGAAATGAACGAAAAGCTCGAAGAGTGGTCGGTTGATGATAGTTAAGTATATCATGCACTTTATCAGGGAATGGTTTTATACCTGCCTGGGACACAACAAATCCTAAAAAGATCACCTCAGTCTTAAAAAATTTAAGTTTTTCGCACGATATTCTCATTCCTGCATTGAAAAGATGACTTACCCAATATGTCCAATACTTGGTCCGTTCTTGAGACCAAACGGCGTTCTAAAAAATTCATATTTACCGTTATTGACACTGAATGCTGTTTTTTCTCTCTGTCTTTCATGTCCATCACAGTTTGATGGAACCCAGACTTGAGGTCTAAGGTTGTGAAATATTTTGATTTTCCTAAGTTGGCTAAAATGGCCGATGGTTCTGGAATCGGATAACAATCGAGTACCGTTTTTTCATTGAATTTTCTGTAATCAATTACCATATGTAATTTCTTATTCCCGTCTTGGTCTAGCCCTTTTTTGTTAACCACATGAATGGCTGAATTATATGCAGAAATAGATTTTCTAATTATTCCATCCTTTAGTAAAGTAGCGATTTCTTTATTTATGAATTTCGCAGCTCAAATAGGGTAAGGATAACCTTTAAATAGACATACCCAATAATACCAACATGAATAGGTGAATTGTATGTAGAAATAGATTTTCTAATTATTCCATCCTTTAGTAAAGTTGCGATTTCTTTATTTATGAATTTCGCAGCTCAAATAGGGTAAGGATAACCTTTAAAAAGACATACCCAATA